CCTCCCGGCCACCCCCGACGGCGAACGGGCACGTTCCTTTTTGGCTCGGAGAACTTCTCCCCGGTACTGTTCATCAGCGCTAGACCCGTGTTCTGCAATGATCGGTTTGTTCCCTTTTATTTTAGATAGGCCTGGCCTAAGTGCTTCTCTTAGGGTGGTTTAGGTAGCCTTTGGGCTAGTGAGTTTGATTTCCTTAGGTCAACGCGGATTGTTCTGGTGAACTGACGTTTCCTTTGAAACTATTTTTGTCTGAAGCACCAGGGAGTTGGACGTTCGAGGCCACTCATCAGATCGTGGTGGCCAGATTCTTCCCTTCTTTAGCCGAAATACCACCAAAATACCACCAGTTGATGTTCACACATGCAGCTTGACTTTCACTCTTTGAGTGCGTTCGTGCATGTTAAAAAGACATTCCCTGCTCTAGATATACCCAGGCTTTTTATCCGACGACATGATTGCTGAGATCTTTTTCTTTCTGACTACTTTTAGGTTTAGTTCACCAAAACCTTCTCTTAAAAAGCATGACTCTGTGCTGGTAACTTTATAAACATTCAGTTCAGGGTCACTGAGCCAACCAAACAAGTAATGCTCTAAGGATCCTAAAAGAAACTGCGTTCTGACTGTAAGCAGAGAATTGTCAAGTGAGTATTTGAGGCAGATGTACAGCAGAACTGTGAGATAACCACAAGGATGAGACGAGGAAAAAGTGCAGACTTTTCAGATCACTTTTATTCTTTTGGATTATTTTGTGGGTGAAAAGCATAAATGTGCAATTTCTGCTGACATTAAAATCATACCAAAAGTTATTAACAATTATTTGCATAATTCAATAGCCTTCATAGCTTCTAACGTTTACTATTAGAAAGATATATGTGAGTGTGTGCACATACATGCACTCAGTTTTTTTTTAGTTGTGACAGTGCCTATGAGCTCCTTTGTGCTGGAGTCTTTTCAATCACATGGTTAAAATTTAGTTTCTACTTATCTAAACATCAACATATCTGATCTCCTTAACACCTTGCAAGACAATTTGTCAGCAATATTGCAGGAAAAATGAGAAAGCTACCTCTGAAACCTACAGCTGTACTACTTCAAACAGCAGCTTATCTCCATCCTTTCTTGAGTACCAAAGGTGCTGCCCAAGAGCTCAGTTTATGTAACACTGAAAAAAGCAGTTTTCAGTTTTCATTAGATAGGAGAGAGTAAATCTAAACACCAGGATTCCTCTTTAAAGATATATGCAGAAAATCTAGTATTATTTCACAAATTACCTGCTTATGTGTCTGAAACATCATGCTGATAATTTACGGACACTTTTTTTTGTATTTACCCCTATCAGAGACTTAGTATAATGTAGCGGTTGTCAGGCATTTCTCTGGAATAAAATTTACTTTCTTTGGGGCTATAAACGAAGGCAAAGTATGCGATAGCAGGAAGTAGTGAAGAGCTTACATATTTCTCGAATGGTACGCTTTTGCAGGAGCACCACCCTGAAAACATGCATTGCTTTGTATTTAAATGTCACCTTGTCAGAGCTGACGCTCTTGCCCTGCCCACAGATAGTACATGCGAAAACCAGTGTCTGGCAGTGAGTGAACTGTTTTTGCAGGAACTAAGGCAGAGCTGGACTCCCCTGGGCACCAGGAGGAAGGACACGCAGAGACGCGCACTGCCCTGGCCCGCATGGCAAGGAAGGCCAAGAGTGGCTGTATGTGCGGCGGGGCAGACAAAGGAGTCGGACCAGAGTATCTCACAGTTTTTTCCAACTTTTTTGCTCATAAAATGAGCAAGATCCAGGGATTGTCTTTTACCTGAGATATCCTTGTATTTCAGTAAACAGTAATTCAGGAGTAAGATTTGTTCAGTAGCTGTGCACTCAGTGAGCCTCTTTCTGCAGCCAGTGACAAAGCCCAGCCAAACTACAGCAGAACTGACTGATTCAGTTTAAGTGTATTTGCTAATATGATCATTATTTGTAACTTGCTTTGGCTGTGTGATTCAAGATCCTGGACTAGGATTAAGCTAAACTATAGGGTTTAGCTGGGCCAGACCTTTGCTCTACACAGCTGAGGACAGACTTGAGATGAGCAGAACCTACTGTGTTCCAGCCTATACACAGACTCAGTGAGACCTACAACATTTCTGACATGTGTTTCTCTAAACTAGCTTGATTTGTGTATTGTGGTGTTCTTTGGGTGCAAGGAGAACAATGTGCACTTATCTTGGGACAGCTCGCACCTGGTAGGGGTACGGGGCGCACGTGAAGGCAAAGTAACCGTCCTCCCGTGGCCTGGGCTGATTCTCAGGGAGTACAAAGGTGAATTTCTGCAGGAGAGTGGTAAAGAAAATAAAGAGCTCCATCCTCGCCAGCTGTTCCCCCAGGCAAATGCGGCGACCTGCAAGAAAGGGAGTACAAATTGTGAAAGAGGGCATTAAACCACTCTGAAATCTCTCTGGGAGAAGCACCCCTGTGTGCAGCCACAGGATGGAGGGAACCAGGGGATCAGTAGATTGTTTTGTTCAGAGTGGAGGGAAGGAAGACAGTAAGTGTGGTGTTAACCAAGTCCAAGGGGTGCAGACACTCCCAGCTAGTTAGATGGGGAAAGACCCCACTGTATGTGCATCCAATCATAGAATAATTCAGTTTGGAAGAGCCCCCTGCGGGCCATGTAGTCTTATCCCCTGATCAAGGTAGGGCCACACTCAAAAGTTGGATCCAGCTTCAAAACCAGTTCAGGTTGCTCAGGACCTTGGCCAGATAGTTTTGAAGGGTGAAGATCCTCTCTGGGCAGCCTGTTCCAGGGTTTCCCTGAGATGGAGGCTTCCTACTTTCCAGGAGGCAGATCATCTGCCTGTTCTGTAACTGGCTTCTGCATGGGCAGCTAGATCCTCCCCTTAGATTTACCTGCTGAGAAAGGCATGAAGGCCTCTCGTTTCACAAACCGCCCGTTCACATCCAGGAAATGCTCGGGGTAAAATTGGTTTGGCTTCTCCCACATTGTCTCATCCTTCAGCACAGAAGACAAGTTGGTGATGATTGTCGTCCCCTGCGCTCCCCCACAAGAGGAAACAACTCGTGTGAGAACAGTAGAATTATCATGGCACAACAATTAGTGTTAGTCTTTCTTTAGTCAGTCTCTCTCTTCTAACAGCAGCCATCATTACTTACTTCAGAATAAGGCACAGATATCCTCTCTCACATCTAATTTAAAATAGAGATAATTTGTATCCTTACAAAGGTCGTCATTGCATGCAAAGGCCAATTTCATGGTCATGTTGTGGAAACAGCCTCCGCTCCCCAGATCCTCAGAGATTTGTTTTATAGCTGGAGAGAAACAGCTAACTGAGACACTTCAAAGCCCAGTCTTCATAGGGGCTGTGGAAAATTGCAAAGCTTTCCTGTTTCACATGTCAATGTTTTAAGCTACAGGAGATAATGCAAGTCTGAAAAAATATACCAGGCTTTCATTGCTGCCAATGCTGCCAGGACAGAAGTGTGCTTACTGCCTGTCACCGTGGCAGTGGGCTGAATGCCATCTGAATAGCTTCAGATGTTAGAGAGTTTTTACTACTACCATCCTGGAAAAGTCACCCTGTGCCTCCAAAGAGCCCTTTACACTCCTTTACCTTCCCCTTACAACAGAAGCAGTGAACACCACAGCTTGTCTAGAGAAAAGCAGACCTTTATGCTGAGCTGCCACTACGCTTGTAGGATTCCCACATAACCATCATAAACCTAGAGCACAAATGTGGCTGTCTCTCTAGTCTTAGCATTTCAGAATTCCCCACTTCATCACTCCCCAGTGATTGAGTCAAGGCTGAAAGTGGAACATTGCAAAGACTCGTGTGGGGTCACCCACACCTGAGCCTGACATCTGCGCAGGGAGAGGATGCTGCATTGCCTATCTGGCCGCAGTCACCTTGGGAATGAAGAAGCCTTGAATCTCAGTGTCCCGGAGTGTCATATGACGTAGTCCAGTAGGAACAATATCCCCACAACGTTGTACTTCATGGATCACAGCATTGGTGTAGGGCATGCTCACTTGGTCCTCCATTGTGGGTGATCTCTCTCTGCCAAGCACCTTATCAATCTCCGCTTGGACCTTACCTGAGAAGACACTTAAACTGAAGATGAAGCAGCATATTTCAAGATATTCAGTTTTTACTTTCATCTAAACTTTCTGGGGCAGGGATTCTCCCTCTTTATTTAAGCAATTCCTGCCACAGTGAGGAGCTAAACTTGACTGGAGCCTTTAGGAGATATTTTCCATTTGAATATGATATAATAACATTTGGCTATGCATTTTTTCAGACCATTTCAGCTGTACCAGTATCAACTACGGGACAGTTGCCCCGTGGAAGTGTCAGTGCTGCTGATAGATACTGGCATCACTTAGACATCAGAAAGAGGATCCAGCAGATAGAGACAAGTGCTTGGTTCCCGTCCAGACAAAGTATTGATTCACCTAATTTCTGGGGTACTTCCCTGATGCCTCAGATCTGTTCCTCAGTTACTAACTCCTGATCTCACAGGCAGGTTTGTGTGGGTTTTTTTTGTTTGGTTGGTTTTTCCCTGCAAAAAGTGGAGCAACAAAGGAATCAAAACTCTCTTAGCTAAACAGAAAGGACTGGTACAAGTTGTAGGAAAGCTGGTAGCACGCGCGCAGTAGACAGTGGATGAGAGCAGGACGAGCAGTTATACAGAGGAGCAGGAACTAAAGGGGAATGCATTGATTTTGAGTTGCTCAGAGCAATCTGTAAAACTATTCAAAGTGCTCAATGTCTTTCATAAAGGTGTTGTCACTGGACACCCTACCTTACTTCTCCTCTCTGTGACTCCAAGTGCACTTGGGCATGCAGCATTAGAGCATTAAAACAGATTAGCATCTCGTCCAAATACAGGAAGGAGGCCACTCTGGCCATGGAAAGTCCCTAAGTAGCCTTGGGGCCTACTAAGGAAGCATGAACTTTCTTTTCCAACTCCACAGTCTTTTTATCAGGGGTTCCCTTTTTTCCCCCTGCCACTGGGCCCTGCCAGAATAGCTACGTTTGGGGAACTGTCTCTCCTGGTTTCTTCTAGACCAACAAACACCAAAGGTATTTCTATTTGCAAAAATCCCAAACCATGGATAGAAGATGTTCAGTCTCCGTAGAGAAAAATGAGGGTCAAAGGGAACAAGCCACACCTCTAACTGCCCTCTCACTTACTCTGTATTTCTGGGTAGAGAAGCATGTACAGAAGCGCCCACCGGAGGGTGATGGAGGTGGTCTCAGAACCAGCTACAAACAAGTCTGATGTAACCAGGCGAAGGTTGTTGTGATTGAAACCTTCCTCTTCAGCCCCCTTACCCTGAGAAAAGCAAAAAATGTGTGATTGGACCAACAGCATTTGCTGGGAGAGAAGAGCACTGTTCTAGAGAAGTACTGATCCATTTTTGCTGACCAAAAAGTCTATGTATTGGCAAAGTAGAGTATAATACAGGCAACTGTCTGTGTATGACCAAGGTACTTCAGTGACACTGTCGCTTCATGCATTTGAAGGTCATCAATCACCTTCTGTATCCTGAAAGAAGAACATTATGCCTGTCTTCAGATCAGAAGTGAACATCTTGCGCTTTCAATTCAGACAGCAGGCCACTGCCACTTACCAGAACATCCTCCCCCGGAGGAGGGGGAACACAATTATTAGGTTAGAAAACCCATGCAGTGGAGAGCAGGCTGCATTCATGTGGCAACTGCAAAATTAACAGTATTTTGAGGGGGTTATCTATAGCTATGAATTACAGCTTGTCTCTACTCCTGCCCTGGTATTTTCTTACAACTGGGAAAAAAAAAGATCAGGGTACCATTGCTGCCTATTAAGTCTGCAACACCAATTTCAGTAAAACTGGTGTCTCATCCAAAGGCTAATTGATTTCAAATTTATTAGCATATGAGATATGACAAGTTCCCGGCATGAGTTCATCTGCTTGTCTTTTCTAATCCTTTTTATGCTTTTCTTTCCTAGGGACTAGCTTCTGTTAAGTTATTCTGCATATTTTGATGCTGTCTTAATATGGATAGCAGTTAAAAAGACGTTTTAAGACTCAACTGTTATTCCAATAAAAGATCTCCAGGAAGGGAGCTATGGGACAGATCTAACAAAAGTTAACCCAGTGGTGGGATTTTCCAGGCTGGCTTCTCAGGGCATCTTAGTGAACAGAAGAGATATGTGACAAGAGGGAACGTGGGCAGGCTCAAATCTCATAAATAAAGACATTTCCGCCACCCCGGAGTAGTACAGCTCAGTGCAGAGTAACGTAGGTCACGTTGCTCTGCCTGTGTGAGCTGGGTGGTGAATGCATGGATGGGAGGTGCCTGGCAGCCCACAGTATGGCAGGATTATGCAGAGCAGCGGTCTATCCTGAGGCCTCAGGTGGCAGAAGCAATTTTTTCAGATAGAATTTACTATTGTTGCTCATCTGGCCCTTGAATGCATGCACAGAAACATTTGGTGGCTGGATGGGCTGACACTCGTGCCTTTGATTTTATACTGACTTTATGCCTAGCTGAATCAAAGGAGAGACTCCTTTTAATTTCAGTGGAATTCAGATTTAGGCCTTCATCTTATCTGTAGAAGGACAATGAAATGAACTAATTATTTTTCAAGCAATTCAAAGACAAACATCCCATGCGGGATGCCATCTGTCCAAGTCATAGCTTGATTTAAAGGCAGGGCGCTGGCCAGGCAGTGGTACCAAAAATCTAGTCTGTTGTTGCTGTTTTCTAAATGATATGGAACTGTCAGGTCCTTAAGGCTCTAACAAACACAAAATTTTGCATGTTGACTTGTCATCCAGAGCAGACTTAGAAATATTAGTGAAATCTCATTCATTGCCTTTATAATGCCTTATATATGGTGTTTGACTCTTCTGTATACCAACATGAGATCAATTAAAAATTTAAAAACTTGTTGCAGAGAGGCTGTAAGAGAGGGGGAGCTGCTGGACAATCAAGGGAAACTGAAGGTAGAAAATAGGGACCAGAACATCATACGACCTCCTAAGACAATAAAGGGGGGCACAGCATGAAGAAGTCAACACCTTTCTTCTTGATATACAAAGTGAAATGAACAAAAATAAGAGATTAGTTGGCAAGAGGTTTTTTTAGAGCTTCATGAGAAAAGTCAGCTTCATCAAGAAGTTAAATAAGAAGAGGAATTAACTTTGGACCCCGAGGTTCTGCTGGTCTCTCCCTACCTTCTCCATTTCCTTTAAAAACACATCAGTGAAATCTCGGGTGTAAGCAGGGTTCCAGGTCTCCCTGTGCTTATTTATGAGAACGTCTATGAAGTCCATGAGCTTCTTTTGCCCTTGAAAGACTTTCTGCGGCACTCCAGGGATGCGCAACAAAATAGGCACCACGTTAAGAAGCTGGGATGCCAGAACGAGAAAGAGAGACAAGACATTATGTGACATTACGCAAAAGACAAAATAATGAAAACACAATACTCTAAAGCAACAAAGGCCAGCTTTTTACAGACCAAATTACATTATTAGGTTACCTCAGGCAGGAATCCAACTTCTGCACTTATGGAGTTTTCAAGCAAATGTCGCAGCTTCTTGAACATCTCATCACCGTAGGCAAAACGTTCTCCATAGATGGTGGTGCAGATAACGTTGCAGACTGCATTATTTATAGGAAGAAGTGGATCAAAAGGATGACCTAAAAATGAAAATGGAGACCAAGCAAAGAGATAAGCAACATTAAGCTCTTGTAGCTCAGCTGTCAGCAGAAGAGAGTGCGCAAATAGCTTCTTGATGCCTGCATGAGGAAAAGCCCCCAAACCGCTCAAAGTATAAATGCATCACACTGGGAAGAGATCTTCTCATCTTCTACTAGTGTTTGGTTGATCATTGTTTAAAGGAGAAACTTCTAAAGAAAAGCTACTAGTTGCAGCGTTGTGCTGTCACACACCAGATAACACATCTCTTTGTGTCTAAATGGCAGGTGCTGTGCTGCAAAAACTGTACACTTTTATCAAGTGTGATAATATTGATATGTTGGCCTGAACTTCATAAAGATAATGGTTACTCAAACCTAGAAATAATGATATTTTACTTCTACTGGGACTTGTATTATTTATTATGACTGTTTACTTCCTGTCTCAAACTGATTGGTGTCACAGTAGCGCCACTATGTAACATACGCTTCAAGGCAGAGCAGAGTCAGTAATTATTATGTGTTCGGACTTGAAATGCTGCGTTCATTTAGAAAGAGAACACTGCACGTGAATGAGAGTGGCTGGATTGTTGTTTTTCTCTCTGCATCACTCTATTGCTTTTTTTAATGTTTATTTAGATCAATGCCCCCATCCTTCCAGATGTGACAAACCTTCTTCAGAACGGATTGCAGAGCACAGATATGCTGCTTCCTCGGTCACTCGCTCCTCCAAGGGTTTCTTTCCCATCCCAAAGTTCCTCAAGGTAGTGAGCGTGAATTTCCTTAGCTCCTTCCAGACATGCCCATATCTTGCCATAACAATCCCTGGAATTATGGATGAGCAGGAAATGTCAGGACCGCGGACGTTCACCCCATGCAAAGTCTACAAGAGAACAGCAAATGTGAGTTTGGAGGTACAGGTTTGTGTGGATAAGATGAAAGGCTCTGATCTTATACAGCTCATTTGTACAGCAATTCAAGAGACTTGTTACTGCCCCTTCTAATACATGTATATGGTTAACGAAGATGGAGAGGGAACTCTCTGAGAGCAACAAGCGTCGCAAAGAAGAAAGGAATGTAGAATAATTCCCCCAAACTATTCAGAGTTGTGCCCTCAGCCTGTGCACTGGGGTAGCAGTTCGTGCCGTGGCGCAGGAGCCAAGGATGAGAGATCTGGGCAGGCTGATGGATAATACTCTCTATATCTTGGAGGAATGTTACCCGTTGTCGTGCTGCTGATAAAATGTACTTAGCACGGGAGCGTAAGCACTAGCCGCTGGGCAGTGGGCTCTGCCAGTTGCAGTGCTGGCAGGCAAGTGGCATGGCTGATTGTATCCTCGCACCGCAGAAGAGGTGTGTGCTAGTGCATGGAGCCATCGTACAGCCACTAACTAGAGCTGGGAGAGGAGGGGGAGAGATTTTCATCTCATCTGATTTTGTCACCACAGAAGAATGGCAGAGTGTACAAGGAGAATGAGCAGAAGGACATGAGGAGGAGGCACTGTACTAGGAAAATCTTCCATCTACCCGACCCTCTCTGTGCTAGCACCAGCAGGGAATATCCATTTCCAAAGGACTTGCCTTCAGATTTAGTGCCATAGCCCACATGCTCATATATTGAAAAGTATGGCCTGTCAGCAAAATCCTCTGATCTGTGGACCAGCGCATCCTTCACTGTTTTATACCCATTCAGCACTACCACGTTGGTCCAGCAGTTCTGGAGACAAAAGATGTTTCCGAACTTCTTACTAAGCTGCCAAGACAAACAAGAAATGAAAAATGAAAATGAGCTCGCATGCAATTTTGCTGGATGGTAACACCAACAAAAATCATCATATCCTTTCTTAAGACCTTTAGTAATTTTTGAGGTGCTTTTCTTAGGAGACGGTCTCCTTCAGTTGACGGGAAACTCCGAGGGCAACAGCTCAGAGCAGTGCCAAACACCAGCTGAAGCAAGGATCAGAGCAGTGTCAGCAGAAAAAATTTAGAATTACAGCCATCTTGGTAAAACTGCTGCCAAGACCATTGTGCAAGTACTTTGGATTTTGTCTGTAAACATGAGGTCAGGACCTGTTCACGATTTTTAAAGATTTCGCGCTCAACAGCATGTTATTCCCTAACACTTGTATTTATTTTGGTCTGAAAGGCTAGGCAAGTTTTGAGTCACTCAGTCTGTTTCTGTTAGAAGGAAGTATTAATGATAAAGTAATATGTGATTTCTTTTATACACGTTTGTTCCCAAAGATCTACCCAGAGGCCAGTTCCCAGAAACACAGCAGGAAAAGGCAGTTACATGCTGGAGTTTTAGGGCAAGGAACGTATACAGCTAGTAAAACTGGTAACTGGCATGCATCATCTGTCATGATCTGTAACAGATATCATGATGACAGCAGGATGTTAGTGCAGGTAAGTCAGTCAATCATATACTCACCCTGTGGCTTACCAGGAGCTAATTTTTCTCCTTTGGACATCTGACCCTGGGAAGATGGATCAAAGATCCACTGCTAGTCTCTAACACTTCAAGTTCTCAGGAGCCTGTTGTTGGAAGACTGCAGTGATAGGAATACCCCACAAACTGTGCTATCTCTTTTTTTTTTCTTTGTTAAAAAAAGTCTTCATTTCCATACTGTGAGAAATGCAAGGAAATTTGAGTTCAAATGCAAGGAAAATACAGTGAGTGTATCTGAAATGGAGTTGAAAAGGAAATTAGTACTTTCCTGGCACTAAAAATACGTCATTAAAAGCAAATACTGGTCAAGACTGCAGTTAGCATGATCCTGATTTGATATGATTTGAAATGGTAATACTTTTGGACTAGAGGCAAGCAAATAATACAAATGCTGTATTTAGTTTTTCCATTTGGCAGATTTTGGACAGATAGCTGAACAGTGCTGACTTTAACAAGAGGCCTTTGCAAACTGAAGCACCAAAAAACCCCATGGTTTAGCTGCTGCAAGCTGTGCTGATGCTTTTTCTTTGAGGAAAAGATAAATGAATTTATCTTTGAATAAGACTTTGAATATGACTTTGAATAAGAATGCCACAGAGATTTTGTGCATTGCTTCTGAGGCAAATGCCACAAGTGGATCCCTTTACTGGAACTGTCACAAGCCCGTGGGCATCGCAGGGAATTGTCCTTCCTGCAGCCATGTCCCGAACCCACAGCTGTTTGCTCTCTCGCCTTTGTTTGTACATCTCTGTGTTCCCTTGCCCTTGCCACTCACCCACTTGTTAATTTGGGGCCCAGCTGATGAGCCAACATCACCCATCAAAGGGGTAAAACAGCATCTCTCATTGAACACCCACAGACATTTTAAGACAGAAGCTGGCAAGTGTTGGTGCGTGGTTATCTCTTTTATCTGTACATGGCCATGACTTGCTCTGTCCTGGACTTTGGAGGGGACATTGCCCTTTGATTTTGTGCAAGAGTGAAGCGTTCCTGCCTCCGATCGGAGGCATCTTCTCCTCGCCTGGGCCTGCAGTCATGTGAGGGGGCTCTGTTGCAGATTTGCTCCTCAGGAGTCCCAGCTGTGCCCAGCCCCTCACAGGGTCCTGGCAGGGGCTGGTACTCACCTGGTTGAAGGAGAGGTGCGGGCTGCGGAAATTGATGTGCAGCATGGTCCCAATGAAGGGCAGGGAGGTCGGGCCCGGGGGATAGTGGCTCCACTTCTTCCTGCGCTTCATGAAATCAAGAACCAAAGTGAAGACTGTGAGGAAAACTCCCAGGATGGAGATGTTGTTCCAGCAGGTTGACAGCTGGGACCCCAGCCACAGGAGCAACGCCATTTCCTAGCCCTTCTACTCCTTGGTCTTCCCTTTTTGACCAAGGACTGTTTCTGCCTCTCACTCTCTCCTCAGCTTCCTTCTTTCTTTCACTCCTTTCCCCAAGTAGCTGTCTTCTTTTCCTTGCTTTCTCTCCCTTTCCCACCCTGTTCCTTCTGTCTTTCTGCTCCCTTCTCCCTGCAGTTGCTGGCCTGTGAATGTGGGACTCAGCTCAAACGTCAGGCTCCTCCTTTTGTTCTGATCAGTCCTGGGGGAGTGGTGATGAGGATGATCCCTCCTCCTCCTCCTTCTTCTCCAAAGTGAGAGCTTGCAAATTGTTTGGCCCGTGCTGCAGTAGCAGCTCCTGCAGCGGTGCCCTCCTTGGGGCAGAGCTGGGTGAGGTCCAGGTGTTTGGGTGCCCTGTCCCACAGCCAAGTTGAGACCACAGCTCAAAACAGGCGATCCAGATTTGTTACATTCTTGGGTGGTGATTTGGAAAGAGTTTAAACCTGTGTTGCCCTCACAGGCAATTCAAGGGAGAAGCAGCTCCTCAACACAGACTGTTCGGCTTTCTTTTTTGCAGGGCTGAGAATTTGTTCCGCTGGAGCTCGAGAAACCTCAGGCTAGGTTAAGCTTTGTCTTACACTAAGCGCTCAAATCAAGGATATTGGCCTAAAACAATGATCTGACACTTCAAAAATCATTTATGTTTCTGAGTATAATAATCTTTATCCAACTCCAAATATCAGTCAGTGTGATGACCTTGATTTTTGCAGAATATAGCTTGTATGCAAGAGGGGCAGTACCTATATTGCAAAGACCCTTAAATTTCCAGCCTTTGGGGCAGCAGTGATGAAAACACAATTATGGAGATAGTTCAAATATTTCATAAAACAGCACAGCTGTGTACTCCTGGCATCACTGCCATGGGAAATCAATAAAGCTCTCTATTATGACAGTTAGTTCTAGCTAAAAAGAAGCAATAAACCCATCACAGTTTGATCTGTGATCTCAGCCTGATCAGAGAAAAGCTCCTAATGGAGCAATTGCTGCAGCAGCGATGGAGAGCTCAGACTGCAAAGTGATGCACCTGGAAAGCTGTGCAGTGATCTCTGGTATGTAGCCATAGTCTCACAATGCCCCTTACCCAAAGAGGCTAAATGCTCATTATTTGTGTACAGAGGCTCCCTTGTACAGCACAATGGGGGAAACTCCTGCATGTCCCTTGTGAAAGCAGCATGACCAGGGTTCGTCTCAAGTACCCGTAGACAGACATATACAGCGTGAGAAGTGAACAGGAGGAATTTACTAGTTCCTACACACTTGCAGAACTATGATTTCATTTGGATTACAGAAACATGTTGGAATAGCTCTGATGACCAGAGCGGTGCAGCGGAGGGACACAGGCTCTTGGGGAAAAGGGTGAGGAGTGGTTGTGCTCTGTGCAGAGGAGTGCCCAGAGCTCTGCCTTGGGACAGATGATGAGCCAGTTGAGAGCTTGTGGACAAGGACAAGAGGACAGAGCAACATGAGCAGTGTTGTGGTAGGCACCCACTACAGACCACTCAATCAAGAAGAGTAAGTCAATGGAGCCATCTCACACAATGGCTGGCCTGGGACTCATGGGTGTGCTTTAGCTGGAAGACAGACAAACCCTGCTCTGTTGGGTTTATTTGCAAACAAGGAAGAACTATATGAAGGTCAAGGGTAGTGTTGGCTGCAGCAGCCATGAGATTGTGAAATTTAAAGTCCTGAGAGACATAAGCAAGACAAATAGTAGCATTAGAGTCCTGGCCTTCAGGAGAACAAATTGCACCTTGTTGAGAGATCTGCTTGGCAGGATCCCACAGGAGACTGACCTGGTGGGCAAAGGGTCCCAGGAGAGCTGGTTGCTCTTCAAGCACAACCTCCTCAAAGTACCAGAACAGTCTGCTTCAATGTGCAGAAAGTTGAGCAAGGGTGGCGGAAGGCCAGCGGTGGTGAACAGGGAACTGACAGAGCTCAAAGGTAAAGAGGAATTGCGCAGGAAGAGGAAGCAAGAGGAATATAGAGACATTGCCCAGTCATGCAGGACTAGAGTAAGAAAAGCCAAAGCTCGGCTGGAGCTGGAGCCAGTGAGGGGGTGTGAAGGCATTCTCCATCTTCTACATTTTTGCTTGTGCTCTTTTCTTTTAAGCTGGGAACAGTATCATCAAAAGATATGCACTTGCTGGACACAATGTTTTTCTCCGCTGTCTGGCTGATTAATTCTGCTATTAGCTTCAAGTAGAGAAGTGAAGTCCTCAGACAGAGCAGCTTCACCGGGTCCCAGCTGAGAGGAGCTTTTAGCCTGTGTCACATTCTTTGAGGACACGGGAAGAGACTCTTCATCACTGTCAAATCCAAATGGATCCTCTGTTACCTCATCTTCAACTATGGGGTTTTTAGGAACTTCAGAAATATCTGGTTTGACACTGGGCCTCTTCTGTCCTAATTTGGCCATGAAGGTGATCTCTCCCCATTTTGTACTAAGGGTGGTCCATTTGTTGGAAAATGCTTCATCAAACTTTGAACTGCCATTTCCTCCTTTCCTGCTGTAGGTATTTCCAAATCAGGATGTCATTTTGGCTCCTGTTTCATATTCTCTCGGCGTCAGCAGGGGCGGCGTGGCCCAGCGCAGCCCGGCGTGCTGCGGTGGTGCCACGGATGTGGCTCTCGCCACAGTTCGTGGCCACCGATCC